GCACATACACATGTACAAACACCAGCACACACACATGTACAAACACCAGCACATACACATGTACAAACACCAGCACATACACATGTACAAACACCAGCACATACACATGTACAAACACCAGCACATACACATGTACAAACACCAGCACATACACATGTACAAACACCAGCACATACACATGTACAAACACCAGCACATACACATGTACAAACACCAGCACATACACATGTACAAACACCAGCACACACACATGTACAAACACCAGCACATACACATGTACAAACACCAGCACATACACATGTACAAACACCAGCACATACACATGTACAAACACCAGCACATACACATGTACAAACACCAGCACATACACATGTACAAACACCAGCACACACACATGTACAAACACAGAGAAGATCTGTAAGACAAGTGAAGCCACCTATGAGACTGATTGAACAGATGTAATGTGATGACATGTTGTTTGGAAGATGAAGTTACGTTATCTCTGTAAGTTCACCATGTTTGGTTCTTGGGGTTGAATGGGTTATAATTGTTGAAAGCTAGTTATGTTGTTAACATTACTTTACCAAAGCCTGGTTTAACAAATTACACATAATTAGAGGCTGGTTATGTTTGTGTAAGTCAGTATGTTATCTTATTGTTTTAAAAAAGAAAAAAAGGAAGATGTAATGATAACAGCAAATCATTATTTGCTTAGTATCATGGGTTATGTTGTTAATACTCCTAGATGGTAGGGGGAGCCAGTGGGGATGGATGACCCTTAGTCTGGGACAGTAATGGCGAAGCTTGGTTGTTGCATGTGAGCCTTAGTTCGATAAAGTACCTTCTCTTCAAGTAATGGTGTCATTATTGAGAACCCACAACAATATAAGAAACAAGACAAACCCTGACGTTGACTGGCAGCCAGTGAAGCTGGAGGAGAAGCGGGGTGATGTGGGTGTGTTTGGAGGACTTGGTCAGAAGCCGAGCACAGGCGTTCTGAACCACCTGTAGACGGTTCAGGGAGGTTCTGCTCAGACACGTGAAAAGAGAGTTACAGTAGTCTAAGCGTGAGGAGATGAAGGTGTGGAGAACTGTCTCAAGTTCAGAGCGGGACAGAATGGGACTCAGCTTAGCAACGTTCCTGAGATGGAAGAAGGAAGAGCGAACAAGAGAACTGACATGAGAATCCAGGGTGAGAGCTGGGTCAAAGGTCACACCAAGATTCTGACAGAAGGTTTGGTGTGAGAAGCAAGCTGACCAAGAGAGTCTCTGACTTTGGGAACCAGCTTGTCTGGGGCACAGATGAGGATCTCAGTCTTATCTTCATTAAGCTGAAGAAAGTTCATGTCTTCTTTACAAACACGTCTCCATCCACCTGCTGCAGAATCAGCTGCTGCGTTCCAAGTTAACAGAAATAGGAAACGTGCTGCAAACCCTCAAAACCCCCTCCCTTTGAAGTCAGGCCGTCCAAATGAGGCAGGGAGCATCATTAAGAATCGTAGGATGTCCAAGGAAGGTCTCCTCTGATTGGCTGTTTCATGTAACAGCAAACCACCTTCTCTCCCAAGAGGACCTGGCTGCAGCAAAATGTCGACATGAGCTCACCTCCAGTCGCCATTACCTTACAGGAAGTGCTTATTTGAACCCAAAAGTCACCTAACCTACAGTCGCTTCATCTTTTTTCCCACAATATCTTCATTGAAAGTTACAAAAAACATATACCAACATATTCTAAAACGGAAAGAGCTTCGAAATCAAGTGAATGTTTTTCCTGTTCATCATCTGATTAAATGTGGACCATTTAATCTAAACTTAAATAAGTGTAAATCATAATCATCTTTGCATTTCCATCACTCATGGCCTGTCCACCAGTGTGTCATCTGTTGATGACTTGGCAAAGTTCTTCTCGCACTTCGTTCATCCCACTAATCATGTACCTCTGTGCAAGACCGGATTAACCATATGGGCAACTGGGCAATTGCCCAGGGCCCACGAACTCTAAGGGGCCCAGGGCAGCAAGGGCACGAGCAAAATACTGTATCTGTAATCTCCCGCTTTATATTAAACTAGGGTGACCGTATGTCCGGTTTTCCCCGGACATGTCCACTTTTCACTCTCTGTCCGGGCGTCCGGAGTGGGGGTTCTTGTATTGATGAAAATGTCCGGCTTTTCATCCAGGAGCAGGGATCGATTTATGGGGGAGCTGGATATCCTACACATCCAGGGGAGCCGGAAACAAGTTTTCTACCTATATTACATCATTTATGGACTCTTTTGAGCAGAGAGCACAGAGAGCGGCAGAGCGCGTTCTTGCACAGCGCTCCAGGCAGCTGCGTCCAGCGCACGGTCCATTCTCAAAGTGGCGCAACCAAAAAACTATAATTAGCACACGATCGTTCATGTCCGCACATGTTCTCTATTTTCTGTCTTATTTGTGCCTGAAGCGCTCTGCTACTGCGCAGCTCATCACCTGTGCTGCGGTGATTTCACCTCACTGACGCAGCATCGAAACGCGCTCTCCGCTTTGCGGTCAGGAGATCCCTTTGATCTGCTCAGAAGTAACTGATGAGGTGAAAAGGTAAGAATCCAGGCAGCAGTTTTTCTGGAGAGTTTAGAGGAGATGCAGGAAGATGAGAGACAGACAGGACAGGACAATAGTTCAATAAAAACAAGAAAACAAAACAAAGTGTTGAAAAGTAAAATGTAGGTAGATTTATCTCCACTACACGTTTTTACCAGTAAAAACAATAAGTTACACACATGTAATATTTACACATCTGATACAATTCAGATCACATTCAAAACTCAGTCACACACCCAGGGCCGTTTCAAGACATTTTGGGGGCCAAGGCAAAATGACCCCCCCCCCCCCCCCCCTGTAGTTATACAGTGTTTATAAAAGCCCCTCAGACTTTACTGACATGTTCTAATATTATCAGATGAAAAACTAAATTATCAGACATGCTGTCTCATCTGCTGCTTTTCTAAACTTGCTAAAAGTAACAAAACCATTTGAAAGCCACTATTTGTGGATTCTCTCAAAGTTTCCATGGAGTGTGTGACAACTTATGTTTTCATTGGTCCTATCATCTAATCTCACAGCTGAAACAAGCATCCTTAATAATCTGTGCACAGGAAGCGTACCGATGCTGTAGTAAAACAAAAGTTATAATAATTTATTATTAATAAAACCTTGTTGCAGCACTAAAGCAGAAAAATGAGATTTTGCAATACATATGCTAAATATTTACATATGAATTGTTTTAGAGCCCTTTTATTGGCAGAATCTGATATTAATTTAGTTCTTACAAAAAATGGGTCCCAACGTGGTTTGTGTGGCGTTGCCATAGTGTGACATCATAGGCACAGATACCCTGTCCTCTTGTTTGGAAATGGAGATATGGTCACCCTATATTCAACAAACTGTCCACCCGGGCTTTTGTGCTGCACAGAGACGCTTTGCTGCCGTGGACTTTGAACGTCAGTTGAGAGTCAGTCTCATGCAGACTGACCAATGAAGAGAGGGCCTCAAGTTAAGACCCTCTCCTCATTGGTCAGTCCACACAAGGTGGGTCAAAGGTTACTCAGGGCGGGTTACGTGATGTCAGGCATTCAAGTATTGAGTATATTTACTGCATATTACGGTAAAATATTCTGTATGTGACCACATTATGGTGATCCTTAGGTCGTGATGATGGGGCCCTTGAATATTGTTGCCCAGGGTACAACAAAGTGTTAATCTGGCCCTGCCTCTGTGCCTGTAGGACAGCGTCAGTTAGCAGCTGGCCACTTCCAGGAGCGCCATGCGCCCGGGGTGCACTGGTGAGACAGGCAGACCCTGCATTCACGTCTTCAGTCACCACCCGGGATGCCTCGTTGGATGCTTCGTCCAGAGTCACTGGGGAGAACGAGATTTGGTTTTGTTATATATTTTAATGACGGACACATCTGATCTGTAATAAAAGGCTTAAACGTTACCGGTCTCCTCCTTCTCCGGCACGATGCCACGCACACTTGCCGGTCCAAGTACTGCTGAGATCCTAATGGCGAGCTGTGGGGGATCAGAGGTGCCAGTGCCTCCGCCAGTGGCAGACACTCTGGCAGTGGCAAAACATCTTTTTTTGCCTCCACCTTCAGATCAGACCATTTCTTTATATCCACCACAGATCTCTCTGAAGAACTTGCAGCATTGACGGCTTCAGCAAAGCTGTGCCACTCTGTGGATTTTATCTCATTTGTTTTGCAAAAGCACTTCATGCCTCCACCTCACCCACAAGTACCTCAATTTCTGCTTTGGTGAAATAGCGCTTCCTTGAACTGCGGTCGCCATCATTAATGGTGGAGGGTTGCAACGAGCCGGCTTATGTATATGCATGGTATCCACAAGGCACTTTGCATTGACCATTTATGGCAGTAAGGGGGCGTGTTGAGAGCAGGGTGTGATCCAGAAACACCTGAGAACCTTTCCAGGTAGAGTGATTTATAAAGGGGCGATTGCGTGAAGCTGTGCATACCCCATGTTTTATAGGTCACAAACCTACTTAATAATAATAATAAATTTTATTTAAAAAGCGCCTTTCTGGTCACTCAAGGACACTGTAAAGAATAAAAACACAAATCATTCAATAAAACAAAGTAAACATACGTAAACATCAGCAAACAAGGCACTCTAAAATTCAAGATTGATATGTGGTTATGAAGAGGTGAGTTTTGAGTTGTTTTTTTGAATTCTGTGAATGAGTTAATGTTCTTGATGAGAGGCTGAAGGGAGTTCCAGAGTTTGGGAGCGGTGCAGCTGAAGGCTCTACTCCCCATGGTGCTGAGACAGAAGGAGGGCACAGAGAGATGAATGGAGGAGGACCTGAGGGAACGGGACGAGGCGACGTACATGGCGTATGTACGTCATGTTTTATAAATGAGACCCCTGACCTGTACTGGTCCATTGGGATGACCTTGTTGTGATTTGGTGCTATATGAATAAGCTCACTTGAATGATCAACTCTTTTCTGTAGAAAAAGTTTATTTAAAAAAATGATGTCACAAAGGAAAGCTTACAAATCCAGAAAATCTAACACAAGTTAGGAGGAAGTCCTGATGTAGGAAGTTTAGAGTTGGGTGCTCCAGGCCAGCCTCTGAGCTCAGCAGACACCAAAATAAAAACATGACAGTATGACAAGGCATGGGCATGTCAGAGGACAGAACTGCGACAAGCTGAGAGGCAGACGTGTTTTGTCACCTGACATCCAGAAATCATGGTGCATGCGTTCTCAGACTTGTTAAAGATGAGCTGCAGATGGACTTTATTCACAGTAGGAAGGTTTGTTCCACTCACCATGATTTATGCTGCCATGATCTCCCAGCATGCACCGGGCAGGTCTCCCATGTCACACAGGTTCTATATGTTGGGGATCTATCTGACCCAGTTGGTGTTTCTGAAACACCGAAGGCCGGTTTTCTCAGTGACCCTAACCTCTCTTTGGCCTGTTCTGATCTGGCACCAACGCATCCTGAATCTGGGCTCATATCTCAGCTCCATGTGAACGGACACGCTGCCACCCCCAGCAGTCTGAGACAGCTCAGACTCACAGCAGAACCTGGAGCTCAATCATTAATGAAAAAGCCCAACTAACGCCAATTTTTCTTGCATAGATGTAGGCAGGTTCTGAACCTGGTTTGAACTATGGCTTTTACACCGTTTCATCCTGAAAACCAGGAGAACAAGCACACATCCAGCTGATGAGGTCACGTGGACTCAGTGACTGGTCCTCTCATCTGTAACAGCTGGGTGTTAATGGTCTGTGGGAGCACTCCCACCTGTAACAGGTCCAGGATGCCTGTTGGTACCAGATATGAGGCCTGTCCATGTGATATGGCTGAAATAAAACATCTAATTTGGCACAAAACGTAAAGGTTACAGTGATCATTACTTTTTCAGGCTGGACAGAAAGAAAACTTTACATTTTAAAAAGACATTAGAAAAGAACATGCCTGCGTAAAAAACTGTTCACGTCAAAAAGGTCAGTGACGCTTAGCACCCTGATTCAATCCAGGGAGATGATGTCTGATATGCTGCCGTCAGTCACCCGTTCTCCAGTGATGACCCTAGCTTCGTGGATGGAGTCGGCAGCATGTCTGCTAGCGTCATAGTGGCTGGTGGAGGAGAGAGAAGTTGAGCTGGTGCTGGCTGTAGCAGCACTCTGCATCCTGCCTGTCAGGTTGTCCAGAAACATCTGAGGCCGGTAATGCTGAGGACAGACACACCATCAGCTTTAGTCTTAACCCAACCCACCAGGTGAGGGACAGCTGTGGGTGCGTCATTATAAACATGACGCTGTTTCCTTTGGCAGGTTTCTAACAATTCTATGTTTTGTAACAGCAGATTTCATCAAAAGTTGAAACGTGAAGAATGAGAATCTGTTGCAAAAGTTCATTTATGTCAGCAATTCTACTTCAAAAGTGAAGCTGAAGCTAATGAGCTGGCTGATGCGATCTCCTGAAATTTCAACCTGTCCCTCAGCCAATGAACTGTCCCCACATGTTACAAACCCCCAAGAAATACCCCCAAATCCTGCCCGAATGACTTCCGGCCCTAACTTCAGCTTTAGAGAGTGGTCGTGTCCCACATTAGAAGCTGTATACCGCACACTAGAGACCCCTGCAGTACGCCTGTAGATAAAACAGTTCCACTTCACTGCCACTGTGGCTGCTCGCCATATCCCCTCCCATCTTCCCACTCTTTTCTTGAAATGATTTTCCACAATGTTTTCAAGACTTTTTCAGCTGCTACAATACGAGTCATGTTATCACAACTAGGTCTGGTCGATACACCGATATTATTACCAAATTGGGATCATTTAGAATCAGATATGATATTGTACCGTTACATCAATATTATTGTTCTTTCACAAAGCCACCTGCTTTCCTGTACTTGCAAGGCAACACAACTAAAGCAGAAGATATTCTCTACACTGGTTCATACGCTGCTATTTTACATGCCAATGTCAGTTTAAATGTCAAAATTCCCACAGCCAAGCTGTATCAGTCACTAATGTTAGAAAATATAACTATTATCAAACTTTTAAATTCATTGGATCTGCTCACACCAAGGCACATTACACATCTGGTATACGTAATGGTGACCTGATTTACCTTTAGAACTTCCAAAAGGCCCAATGTGGTAGATCTAAGTGGCCGTGATGGAACGTATCGGGCTAGAACGTTACACAGATATGATGGTGCAGTTTGTATAAACTGAACGCCAAGAGAAATCACTAGTTTGATTGTTTTTTCCGTGAATAAAATAAATAGGTCAGGCAGGAGCGTCTCAGGATCTGTCTGAGATCTGTCTCGGTGAGACAGATTATAGCAATCCAAAGTGCTTTTTATGTGTGATCTGACAATTGATCAACCATTGCTTAAAAATTAAATACAGCTTAGCCGGTTAGTTGCTGTGATCACAAAACACGTAAACGGCAGCACGCAGAACTCACGAGGCAACGTTTTACGTGATGTTTACTTGTTGCTATGAGTAATAAGACAGAAAAAGCCACGCCAAAATAAGTTTAGGAAGCCCACTAAGAATCGTAATAAAAGCATTTAAAATAAATACCATACACAGTTGAGGAAACGTTGGTTTAAGTACCTGATATGAAGCGGTCGCTGCATAAGTGAAATCCTTTACTTACACCGCTGCAGATGAGGGAATTGTTTTACCTCCCCACCTGAGGTGTGCCTCTCACACTCTCAGCTTGATTTCATGTTCGGATGTGGACAAGTGGCTGCTTTCGAATCCTACTACTAAAAATATATATAGAAGTGCGACAGCCAAGTGCACAGCTCTGTGGAGTAAAGCTAGCAGATCGACCTTGGCCTCAGAAATAGTGGGAGATACTGTTGGCAAAAGCTGCTGGTGCCATGCTCTACAAGATGGAACTCTCTCTACGGCGCTGTGGCAAGGATCGTTGACATGCCTACAAGTGACTTGAATACCATCTCTGATCGTTTAGAGTTACAATGTTTTAGAGAGAAAGAGCTTCTGTTTCTGAAAGAATACTGTGAGGTCATGAAGCCACTCACAGTTGCTTTGGACATCCTACAAGGAGAAGAGAACTGTTACTTTGGCACCCTCCTCCCCACCTTGGAAGTACTGATGTCAAAGACGTTGGAGATGAAAGAAGGTCTGACTATTGCAGCTGGCTTACCAGATGCCATAGCACAGGTAAGAAAGACTCATCATCACATCTAATCTTCTACTAGTACAAAAAGACTGAATTTAATCACCACTCATTTTTACTAAAGCACGTGGTATACGTTTTTTATACCAGGAGAAGTTAATAAATGTAAACACTGATATTTTCATTGGAGCAACCACTGATGTAACCAAAAATATATGCTCCACTTACCTACATTATGCAATTAAAATAAACATTAATAGCTTTGTGCCACAGTTTCTTTTTGCAAAATAAATGTTTAGTTTTGTCTAATCAGTTGTCATTTGTCTACAGTATCTGCTGTAATTTTGATGTTTAAAAATGTTTAGAACTCGTACCAATAACTGAAAAATCACATGGTGGTGCACAGTCTTTAAAAAACTTGCTTTAAGAAAAATCTTTCATTTGTTTAAGGTCCGTGTCAATTGGGTGTGTGTTTTTCAGGCTATCCAAAGACGTTTTGCATCTGTCTTGGAAAACGAAGATGCAATGCTTGCAGCTGTCACACTTCCCATGTTCAAACTGCGATGGTTAAAAGACCAGCAAAAGAAAGAGATGGTCACGGGAATGCTGATAAGAGAGTGCCACAAGCTCATCCCTCAACCTGGTCCAGTGCAGCAAGCAGCCAAGATGCCAGTGACTCCAACAACAACAGACTCAAGCTCCTCCAATGTGCAGGACTTTTTCTGCTTCGAGGATGATGATGATGATGCCTTCAGCACTGTTGAAACTGAGGTGTTGACGTACTTGAGAACAACCAAAACAGGTATGGAGATTCTCAAACAATTTCCTACGATAAAGGATTTCTCTGAAGAAAAACGCAGCTGCTGCTTCCAGTGCACCAGTCGAGAGACTTTTTAGCTTGGGAAGTCTAGTGCAGTCTCCAAAGAGAAACAAACTGTCAGACCAACGATTTGAGAGGCTTCTTCTCATGCGTTACAACCACTGGTTTGAAGGCTAAACCTCAACTCAAACATTCATTTGAATCTTTGGATATTTTATTACAGAGATCATATACAACAGTTACTTAATGTTGAAGCCAGTTTAATTTTTGCACTTGAAATAATACAGTTTAGTTTAAACAAGTTGCTGGCATGCAACTCTCACATAATTTCCTCATGGTTTTTCACAGTTTAATATTTGTTCAATTGGAAAGTTCATTTTCCCCAAGTGGCTAGATGTCTGAGTGTTCAGATATTAGGACAATTCTGATCTTCAAAGAGACATTGGGGGATATTTCCATTTTGTTCACCTACTGATATTTACTCTAAGTGTCTTCATTCTGTTTTGTATGAGACCTGTACATTTTTCTAGTATTTTTCAAGTAGCGTGTATGGCATACAGCCAGATGCTTGCATTAGTGGACATACATGTTCTTTAAGAAAATTAGAATGAGTTTAACTTTCAAATTAGGTCAAACTTAAGTCATTTCTTTTCGAGGTCTGCATTTCCTGCAAAAAAAAAAAAAAAAAAAAAAACACAACCCAAAACAAACGTGTGTAACACTAACATGTGTTAGTTAAGTAGTCACTGTGACTTTTGTTGAATTTCAGAACACTTATTTATTTTATATGAATGCATGGTGTTGCTCAGAAAAGGTTTGAAATATTTTTCAAGAATGTTCTATGGAAACAGTACACTTCGGCAGTTGTATGGTCCTGAAACAACTTTACTATTTGCACTTTACCTAATACATCCAGCCTACTTTAAGTTACTGGCATTGAAGTTGAGCATTGCTCATAGATTTTATCTTTTACCAGGTGTTATTTTTTTATTTATTTGTTTTTGAAATCATTCACTGGCCTGGCTTGATTAAAATAGTGTTTACAAATTACACTGTGTTTGAGTTTGAATTATATTTTGTACATTAATGTAGATTCTCAGTCATCTAGGACATGGTGATCTTGGAATTTAAAATTAAAGCAACTGTACTTTTTTCTTGAAGTCCAGCTTCTTAACTCTTAAAGAGCAAGTCACCCCTACCAGAGTCTTACTCCAGTCCCACTTCGTGTTTGAAAAAAAAAAATGCAACAAATGCTGTTGCCTGGCAGACGAGAGGGCAGAGCCACTAACAAATACACACACACACAGGCTCACAACAAATTTGTGACATCATATGGTACCAGCTAAGCCATAGGGTAACTCTTAGCCATTGACGATGTCAGGTTTAAATTCAAATGAAGTGCAGAGTTTTTACCTGAAGAGGGCGCAACACTGACAATTTTAGGCAGAAAATTTAAATCTTAACTAATATGTACTAAAGTGCCAAATTATTGACTACACATGTCTACAGCACGACTAGACACTAATTTATATGATTTATCAGCAAAAAATGTTGATTTGGGGGGTGGCTTGCTCTTTAAATCTCAAGATTACATTTTGTACAGCATTTTTAAGAATATATTTTAAATAAGTAACTAAAAAGGTACTTTTAAGAGTAACTCATTTCTTTTTGATGTGAGTAATCGGTAAAATAACTAAATTACTTTTTGAATGAAGTAATTAGTAACTGTAACTAGTTACTTTTTTCAGTAACTAGCACAACACTGAAAATGAGACACTCAGATCAAACAGTTGAGTGAAATTTGTTGAAACTAAATCTCAGCAGATGTCCAGACAGTTTGGAAGTCTGTGTTCATCATGTATTAATAAACAAGCAGCATTTCAGGTCATTTGCATTAACACACATACTTTACTGTCGCCCAGAATATTTTACTGAGGATGTTTTTCTGGTCAACATCAGATTGAAACCCAATCTAGGTCTGTGTAACCACTGTTACCCCATCTTCCATACAAGCACGTCGTTGTTCACCTGCTCTAGTCCGTGAGTAGAAACGGGATCCGTGCTGCAATTAATCTGCATTTGTACACTAGTACAGACTTTGCCGAATTATCAGTCAATCAAAGCTTCATTTATAAAGCACCTTCCGCAACCCTGTGAGGGAGCCCAAGGCGCTGGACAACAGTAAATGCAGAATGCAAATCACAATAAATAAGTAGATAATAAAAGCAAATAAAATAGTGCAAAGAGGGTAAAACATTAAAGTAGAAACAAATGGATAAAACACGGGATAAGGTGACCCATAAAAACAGCGAAATAAAATCAACATAAAAGAGGGCCGACCTAAAACACGTTCAGGGAACGCCAAGCGGAGGAGGTGGGTTTTTAGGCGACTCTTAAAAACCGGCAGAGGTGGGGACAGCCTAACGAATGAGTAACCCGGTCCCCGCGAGTCCGACACCTAGAACCAGGGACGGCGAGCAGGCCTTGGTCAGAGGAGCGCAGAGCACGTGATGAGGAATGTCTGTTCAGGAGCGTAGCTGGACTGGGTGGGGGTGGGGGCACCACCCAGGAAGAAATTGAAAACAAAACCAGGAGTTTAATGCAAGAACGATAACAGACTGGAAGCCAGTGCAGGGAGGCCAGAACCGGACTGATGTGATGTGGTCCCGTTTCCTGGTCCCAGTCAGGAACCTGGCTGCGCTGTTCTGCACAACCTGTAGGCGACGCAGTGATGACTGACACAGCCCTGCATATAGAGAGTTTATGCTTATGTTTATTTATTTGACAGACGCTTTTATCCAAAGCGACTTACAATTTATAACCTATAGGGCACGTTGTGATCTGTGGGGGAAACCGGAGTTCCCGGAGGAAACCCACGCATGCATGGGGAGAACACGCAACTCCACGCAGAAAGGCCGCAGTAATCAAGCGTAGGAAATACAAATACATGGCGTACCTGCTCCAGCTGGGCTCTCGACACCATAGGCTTGAATGATTATTGCAATATTCAGATCAGATATTTTATGATCACAAAATACAAATTCTAGATTCGATTCTACAGAAAAAGGGACGATTTGCCATCAAATTTAAAAGCCATCCCATCAGAAAAACTGCTAAGGAACAATTACTGAATGAGCAGCTCTGAAACTGAAAGCAATGTGACAGAGACAGACTGAACCACTGTGGAGCTGACACAGGGGAAGTTGTCTTCCTGAGACACCAGGGTGGACAAATAGGCAACCCTCATGTCCCTGACTGCAGAAATAAAGGATGTCAGAAAATCCTTTAGATGCAGCAGATGGACAGAAACAGACTAAAGGCTATGGTAAATGGCATGTATTTGACATAGCGCCTTCTAGAGTCATGGAACCCCCCAAGGTGCTGTACAACAAAATCAGTCATTCACCCATTCACACTCTGGTGGGGATGTCCTATGATGTAGCCACAGCTGCTCTGGGGCTCACTGACAGACGCTAGTTTATACTTCTGTGTCAGCACAAGTGCGCTCAAACGCACATGTAGACCGTAACGTTTCCCATTTATACTTCTTTGACGGTGTTGTGAAGTAAATCTCCGCTAGGACAGCAAAGGCGTAGCGCTTTTCTGGGATATCCTTGAAACACAGCGGTCACGTCTCTCGGTCATGTCTCTAGTGTGTTTATTTTGTTTGTATTTCAGAGACTTTAACAAGGACAAATTTTGTTCATAACCTTTATGGACAGGATTTCTAGGAACAGCCAAGGTGTTGAGGGGATCCATTTTGGGAGGCTGAAGATCAGGTCTCTGCTTTTTGCAGATGATGCGGTCCTGTTGGCTTGATCAGAACGTTATCTCCGGCTTTTGCTGGAGCAGCTTGCAGCCGAGTGTGAAGCAGCTGGGATGAGAATCGGCTCCTCTAAATCCTAGACCATGTTCTTGAGTCGGAAAAGGGTGGAATGCCTTCTCCGGGTCAAGGATGAGGTCCTGTCCCAAGCGGAGGAGTTTAAGTATCTCAGGGTCTTGTTCACGAGTGAGCGTGAGATTGGTGCTGCATCTGCAGTGATGCGGGCGTTGTACCGGTCTGTCGTGGTGAAGAGAGAGCTGAGTCAGAAGGCAAAGCTCTCGATTTACCGGCCGGTCTACGTTCCTACCCTCACCTGTGGTCATGAGCTTTGGGTAGTGACCGAAAGAACGAGATCGTGGATAAAAGCGGCAGAAATTAGTTTTCTCCACAGGGCGGCTGGGCTCTTCTTAGAGATAGGGTGAGAAGCTTGGTCTTCCGGGAGGGGCTCAGAGTACATCCGCTGCTCCTCCACATCGAGAGTAGGGCTGCTCGATTATGGCAAAAATAATAATCACGATTATGGTGACTGAAATTGAGATCACGATTATTTAGGACGATTTTTCAATTTATGTTGATTTTATTTGTTTTTATTCAGTCATAAAATTGCTCAGGGCACAATCAGGACAAAAATAAGAAACAAGATGATCACTAAAAGAACTCCTGATTCCCAGGATAAAAAGACCAATATACTTATAGCTCATAGTCTATGACCCAAGGGCTATAGACCTTGAGTCTAACCAGTACAGACCCAAATACCAATATCTTGCAAATACTGACAGCAAGAATTATACAGTGGCATTTATAACAAATAAATGCAAATAAATTGATGTTCACAAAATGTTGCATAGCATTTATTGAGTCGTGTCAAGGTGCTGTAGGACTGTGTCCTCAGAGAGATTAGTTATTATTTATCAGCGTGAGGAACTTATTTCTACCTTATTTATAAACTATTTATTTACAGGCCCACCAGTTAATGTAATAATTGTCCCGACCACAGCTGCACCCCCCACCCCCCCACCCCGGTCTCTCAGCAATCAGGGGCAAGCTGCACGTGTGTTTAGCACGCCGCACGCGCACATTTAGCTGTTTTTAGCTGCTCAGGAGACCGCAGGTGCGGGTGTGTGTCACTCACTCTGGTTAATCCAACAAGGAGCCGGCTCCGAGAGCTGTCTTTAGCGACCGACACATCACTACATCATTCCCTTTCCTAATGTTGTGAAGAACGGTCCGGAGCGCAGGCGGAGTGTTTAGCTAACCTGCAGGAAATGTCGACGACAGCTATCCAGAAAGTAGCTAAGGGTTACCAGAGATGTTTTTGAGATGTTCGCTAGGTACTTTTAGGATTAAAAAGTCAAGAAGGGGGTCTGAAAAGCTGCTAGAAATAGCGTCAAAGTCGCTAAGTTGGCAACACTGTGGAGGAGCGCTTCATTTGCAACTTAGGGCAGCGCAAGCGGGAGGAGCAAATAATCGGCTTGTTATGTTTTTTATAATCGTTCAAAACTCAGATCGTAATCGTGATTAAAATTCGATTAATTGAGCAGCCCTAATCGAGAGGATCCAGTTGAGGTGGCTCGGGCATCTAGATAGGATGCCTCCTGGAGCGGGCCCCGCTCCAGGAATTTCCCGACACAAATAAAATGTTTGCTGCGTAACCTTGCATTCCTGACCTTTTCCGCCCGATGTTCTTCAGTTAAAACTTGCATGAAAAGCACATTGGTCAGCTGCAAAGCTGTGTTTTAAAATGTGCTTTATAAATAAACTATGGATGGAAGTTAAAGGAATGTGACCAATTACAGTCTTGTGGTCTCTTTAAACAAATATTTACAACAGTTAGCTCTTTTTCCATCCATCCTTGCAAACCTGCTGGGACAGCCCTTGTGATGAAAGATAATGGCGTTCGTTGTATTTCTCTGTACTGACGCAGGCGGACAAGTATAAACTAGCTTGAACATCTTTCCACGACCACCAGATGTGTCTTTCCACATGGTTGTTTAAGAAATGAGAAGCAACTCATTGCACCAGTTGGGTTAAATAAGTTGCTGCAAAGAGAATCACCCATAGCGACTTTTCTAAGATGGATTATTGACATAAATAGACGTTTGCACCAATGCATATTCTCATTTTTACAGTCTCACTAGTTTCTGAGTGGGTTCTGACTGTAATAGAGGAAGCAGACCCACAGACAATGGTCACACAGCTTATGAAAAAAAAAGATGCCTAAATAAACACAATAACTTTACAAAACTGAGATGTTAGGAAACATCCCTCAGCTTTTTTTCCTGACCTGTAATTCCTTACAGAAAGGTTTCAGCCTAATTCTGCTTTGATCATAGGAAAAAGATCTTCACTCCAAAACTGTTCAGTAAATAAATGTAAAGAGCATTTAATCCTGCTGAGCCACTAGAGGAACTGCAGCAGCTCCAGCTTATTTCTCAGAAAGCTTTGAACAACAGAATCTCCTTTGAGCTTACCTGAGAATTTGATTGAATTAATGAGAACAAATCGATACCTGCAGGTAAGAGACAAAAAGATTAAAGTAGAACTAACACCACAAAGCAGACAGAGGTAAAATAACTTATCAGGCTAACTCACTCTGCATGTCTGCAGGGATGGTAGCCAGGTTAGACGGATGGAAGGGCATGGTGTAATCAGCCAGGGAGGAGGTCAGACACGACTGCTCTAGGGTCTGAATGCTTGGTACATGCATGGAGGGCTGGTACGACAACACTCTGAAACACATGGAGGTCATCACACCTTTACCCTAGTCCCCACTTATTACTGAGTTAGAGCTGACAGACACTGACCAGGGCCCTCATTTATCAGGTGTACCTACAAACACACCTGTGGGGTTAGGGTTTACACACTGTGTGGTATTTACCAGTGTGTACCTTTGTGAGGAAATGATCCTAAACATGAGAACACCTCTGACCATGCGTAGGAGCAGCATCTAGTGGTAGAACGGGGGATCCGCAGTACTGAAGGTTCTCTACAGAGAATGTGTTCTCTAGAAGGAACGTGTTCTCTAGAAGGAACGTGTTCTCTAGAGGGAACGTGTTCTCTACAGGGAACGAGTTCTCTAGAGGGAACATGTTCTCTACAGAGAATGTGTTCTCTAGAAGGAACGTGTTCTCTAGAGGGAACGTGTTCTCTACAGGGAACGAGTTCTCTAGAGGGAACGTGTTCTCTACAGAGAATGTGTTCTCTAGAAGGAACGTGTTCTCTACAGGGAACGTGTTCTCTACAGAGAATGTGTTCTCTAGAAGGAACGTGTTCTCTACAGGGAACGTGTTCTCTACAGAGAATGTGTTCTCTAGAAGGAACGTGTTCTCTAGAGGGAACGTGTTCTCTACAGGGAACGTGTTCTCTACAGAGAATGTGTTCTCTAGAAGGAACGTGTTCTCTAGAGGGAACGTGTTCTCTACAGAGAATGTGTTCTCTAGAAGGAACGTGTTCTCTACAGGGAACGTGTTCTCTACAGAGAATGTGTTCTCTAGAAGGAACGTGTTCTCTAGAGGGAACGTGTTCTCTACAGAGAATGTGTTCTCTAGAAGGAACGTGTTCTCTAGAGGGAACGTGTTCTCTAGAAGGAACGTGTTCTCTACAGGGAACGTGTTCTCTACAGAGAATGTGTTCTCTAGAAGGAACGTGTTCTCTAGAGGGAACGTGTTCTCTACAGGGAACGTGTTCTCTACAGAGAATGTGTTCTCTAGAAGGAACGTGTTCTCTAGAGGGAACGTGTTCTCTACAGGGAACGTGTTCTCTACAGAGAATGTGTTCTCTAGAAGGAACGTGTTCTCTAGAGGGAACGTGTTCTCTACAGAGAATGTGTTCTCTAGAAGGAACGTGTTCTCTAGAGGGAACGTGTTCTCTACAGGGAACGTGTTCTCTACAGAGAATGTGTTCTCTAGAAGGAACGTGTTCTCTACAGGGAACGTGTTCTCTACAGAGAATGTGTTCTCTAGAAGGAACGTGTTCTCTACAGGGAACGTGTTCTCTACAGAGAATGTGTTCTCTAGAAGGAACGTGTTCTCTAGAGGGAACGTGTTCTCTACAGGGAACGTGTTCTCTACAGAGAATGTGTTCTCTAGAAGGAACGTGTTCTCTAGAGGGAACGTGTTCTCTACAGAGAATGTGTTCTCTAGAAGGAACGTGTTCTCTACAGGGAACGTGTTCTCTACAGAGAATGTGTTCTCTAGAAGGAACGTGTTCTCTAGAGGGAACGTGTTCTCTACAGAGAATGTGTTCTCTAGAAGGAACGTGTTCTCTAGAGGGAACGTGTTCTCTAGAAGGAACGTGTTCTCTACAGGGAACGTGTTCTCTAGAGGGAACGTGTTCTCTACAGGGAACGTGTTCTCTACAGAGAATGTGTTCTCTAGAAGGAACGTGTTCTCTAGAGGGAACGTGTTCTCTACAGAGAATGTGTTCTCTAGAAGGAACGTGTTCTCTAGAGGGAACGTGTTCTCTACAGAGAATGTGTTCTCTAGAAGGAACGTGTTCTCTACAGGGAACGTGTTCTCTACAGAGAATGTGTTCTCTAGAAGGAACGTGTTCTCTAGAGGGAACGTGTTCTCTACAGAGAATGTGTTCTCTAGAAGGAACGTGTTCTCTAGAGGGAACGTGTTCTCTACAGGGAACGTTTTCTCTACAGAGAATGTGTTCTCTAGAAGGAACGTGTTCTCTACAGGGAACGTGTTCTCTACAGGGAACGTGTTCTCTACAGAGAATGTGTTCTCTAGAAGGAACGTGTTCTCTACAGAGAATGTGTTCTCTAGAGGGAACGTGTTCTCTACAGGGAACGAGTTCTCTAGAGGGAACGTGTTCTCTACAGAGAATGTGTTCTCTAGAAGGAACGTGTTCTCTAGAGGGAACATGTTCTCTACAGAGAATGTGTTCTCTAGAAGGAACGTGTTCTCTAGAGGGAACGTGTTCTCTACAGGGAACGTGTTCTCTACAGAGAATGTGTTCTCTAGAAGGAACGTGTTCTCTAGAGGGAACGTGTTCTCTACAGGGAACGTGTTCTCTACAGAGAATGTGTTCTCTAGAGGGAACGTGTTCTCTACAGAGAATGTGTTCTCTAGAAGGAACGTGTTCTCTAGAGGGAACGTGTTCTCTACAGGGAACGTGTTCTCTACAGAGAATGTGTTCTCTAGAAGGAACGTGTTCTCTAGAGGGAACGTGTTCTCTACAGGGAACGTGTTCTCTACAGGGAACGAGTTCTCTAGAGGGAACGTGTTCTCTACAGAGAATGTGTTCTCTAGAGGGAACGTGTTCTCTAGAGGGAGCATGTTCTCTAGAGGGAGCTTGTTTTCTAGAGGGAGCGTGTTCTCTAGAGGGAACGTGTTCTCTAGAGGGAACGTGTTCTCTAGAGGGAGCGTGTTCTCTAGAGGGAACGTGTTCTCTAGAGGGAATGTGTTCTCTAGAAGGAATGGGTTCTCTAGATGGAACGTGTTCTCTGGAGTAGGGCTGTAGCGAAGACTCGATGACGTCGACGGCTCGATTCTAAAAATGTGTCGACGTCAGATCCGGTAGTCGACGCACCTCTATTTACAAACTCCCCAGGAGTTTGTAAATAGAGGAGGAATCTGCCTGTTTTTTCCTCTAGTTCGCCCTCTTCTCCACCTTCACTAACATCTCTGCCAAATACCGAAGACCCGGAACAATGTCCGTCCGCTACGAGATTCCTTTCCTGTTTTGCCCGCCTTCGTCTCCCGGCAACAGACAACAACTTCCGGGGGAAATGCGCTGCTCCGTCTCTACCGCAGATGTAGAAAATCACCGGGAGCGTTTCTTCCTTCATAAAGGAGCTTCTTTCAGACATTAGGAGAGCTGTTTTGGTGGTAGCAGTCTCTCCTCTGTGCTGGTCTGTTTGCTGCTGGGTGGTTTTGGTTTATTTAAACTTGGTAACTTGAACGTAACGTTGGTAAAGCTACTGTTAGCATTTTCGCTCACAGCTTCTTGCGTTTGGATCAGCTGTTACGTTTTGGTTTAGAGTTCATCTTTTTTGTGGCGTAGATCTCCCTTTTATTACATTTAGAGTGTTGTGGGTTTTTGGTTTAGTTTAAAATATCACCTTGAGTTTGGTTTAACCGCCCAGTTTAGAGTTTGGACCTTTGGAGATCCTTATTTTGGTCCAGAACCCAGTAATCTTTGCCCAGTGGGACATCCCTACTTATTTGTACTTTGTTTTAATTCCCCACAGGCAGAATTAGTTTTATTATTCCCAACCTGTGGATGGAAAGATTTATGTATTTTTGTAGTTGTAAATAAACCTGATCATCATTTTAACTTTTAAATCCCAATATTGTCCCTTCCTTTTTGCACACGAGCCAAACTCCCCAGGAAGAGTCGTAACACCACTCGCCTCACGCACATACAGGTGCTGGCCAGTAAATTAGAATATCATCAAAAGGTTGAAAATATTTCAGTAATTCCATTCAAAACGTGAAACTTGTACATTATATTCATGCAATGCACACAGACCAATGTATTTCCAATGTTCATTACATTTAAATTTGATATTCATAAGTGACAACTAATGAAAACTCCAAATTTGGTATCTCAAAAAATTAGAATATTCTGAAAAGGCTGAATATAGAAGACACCTGCTGCCACTCTAATCAGCTGATTTACTCAAAACACCTGCAAAGGCCTTTAAAAGGTCCCTCAGTCTTGTTTTGAAGGCACCACAATCATGGGGAAGACTTCTGACTTAACAGCTGTCCAAAAGACAATCATTGACACCTTGCACAAGGAGGGCAAGACACAAAAGGTGATTGCTAAAGAAGCTGGCTGTTCGCAGAGCTCTGTGTCCAAGCACATTAACAGACAGGCGAAGGGACGGAAAAAATGTGGTAGAAAAAAGTGTACAAGCTCTAGGGATAACCGCACCCTGCAGAGAATTGTGACGACAAACCCATTCAAAAATGTGGGGGAGATCCACAAAGAGTGGACTGCAGCTGGAGTCAGCGCTTCAAGAACCACCACGAGGAGACTCATGAAAGACATGGGATTCAGGTGTCGCATTCCGTGTGTCAAGCCACTCTTGAACAAGAAACAGCGCAAGAAGCGTCTCGCCTGGGCCAAGGACAAAAAGGACTGGACTGATGCTGAGTGGTCCAAAGTTATGTTTTCTGATGAAAGCAAGTTCTGCATTTCCTTTGGAAATCAAGGACCCAGAGTCTGGAGGAAGAGCGGAGAAGCACAGAATCCATGTTGCATGAGGTCCAGTGTAAAGTTTCCACCGTCAGTGATGGTGTGGGGTGCCATGTCATCTGCCGGTGTTGGCCCACTCTGTTTCCTGAGGTCCAGGGTCAATGCAGCCGTCTACCAGGAAGTTTTAGAGCACTTCATGCTTCCTGCTGCTGACCAACTTTATGGGGATGCAGACTTCACCTTTCAACAGGACTTGGCACCTGCACACAGTGCCAAAACCACCAGCACCTGGTTCAAGGACCATGGTATCCCTGTCCTTGATTGGCCAGCAAACTCGCCTGACCTTAACCCCATAGAAAATCTATGGGGTATTGTGAAGCGGAGGATGCAATACGCTAGACCCAACAATGCAGAGGAGCTGAAGACGACTATCAAAGCAACCTGGGCTCTCATAACACCTGAGCAGTGCCACAGACTGATCGAGTCCATGCCACGCCGCATTACTGCAGTTATTGAGGCAAAAGGAGCCCCGACTAAGTATTGAGTGCTATACATGCACATTCTTTTCATGTTCATTCTTTTCAGTTGGCCAACATTAGAGAAACAAACATTTTTTCATTGGCCTTTAGAATATTCTAATTTTCTGAGATACCAGATTTGATGTTTTCATTGGTTGTCACCTATAAATATCAAATTTAAACGTAATAAACATCGGAAATACATTGGTCTGTGTGCATTGCATGAATATAATGTACAAGTTTCACGTTTTGAATGGAATTACTGAAATATTTTCAACCTTTTGATGATATTCTAATTTACTGGCCAGCACCTGTAAGTGACCAAAACAAAGCAGCATGGACACACTCTGTCTCCAACCACCTCTCAGGCAGCAGCCTGCACTCCCAAGTTCTACAAGTCACCAGAACATAACCAACCGCAACACAATAAAAGCAGTGTTATACAAAATGGGAGGCCTGTAGTGTTTATTCTCTTATGGGCCATTCCCATCTGTACCGGGTCGGCCCGGGCCGGGTAGCCCCAGTCGGCCCCAGCCTGGCCCGGTTGATTCCACACATCCTTGCCTTAAGCCCATGTGGGCTGATTCTACCCACCAATCAGAGGCTTGCTCTAATGGAAGGTGTGAATTTGCTGTCAGCAGTGGGTGTGTTGGCCCTGGTCGGTCTGAAGCAGACCCCCTCGAGAAGAGGGCTGAGAATGAGCCTTGGTTGGCCCGGAAAAATACCAGGCCACCCAGATATGTAAACAACCTACGCTACCCGGCCCGGGCTGACCCGGTACAGATGGGAATGGCCCATTACAGTTACCATTTATCACTTTTTGAGGAATTTATTAGAGATTTTTTGGTTTTTATTAACTGTGCAATAGAAAAATAATCATTAGATTAATTGTATAAATAGTCATTAGAATAGTCGACTATTCGATAAAATAATCGTCAGAATAATCGTTTTAAAAATAATCGTTTACCCCCAGCCCTACTCCGGAGGGAGCATGTTCTCTACAGGTAACGCGTTCTCTAGAGGGAACGTGTTCTCTAGAGGGAGCGTGTTCTCTAGAGGGAACTTGTTCTCTAGAGAGAGAACGTTCTCTAGAGGGAGAGCGTTCTCTAGAGGGAACGTGTTCTCTAGAGGGAGCGTGTTCTCTAGAGGGAACTTGTTCTCTAGAGAGAGAACGTTCTCTAGAGGGAGAGCGTTCTCTAGAGGGAACGTGTTCTCTAGAGGGGGAGCGTTCTCTAGAGGGAGAACGTTCTCTAGAGGGAGAGCGTTCTCTAGAGGGAGCGTGTTCTCTAGAGGGAACTTGTTCTCTAGAGAGAGAACGTTCTCTAGAGGGAGAGCGTTCTCTAGAGGGAGCGTGTTCTCTAGAGGGAACTTGTTCCCTAGAGAGAGAACGTTCTCTAGAGGGAGAGCGTTCTCTAGAGGGAACGTGTTCTCTAGAGGGAGCGTGTTCTCTAGAGGGAACTTGTTCTCTAGAGAGAGAACGTTCTCTAGAGGGAGAGCGTTCTCTAGAGGGAACGTGTTCTCTAGAGGGAACTTGTTCTCTAGAGAGAGAACGTTCTCTAGAGGGAGAGCGTTCTCTAGAGGGAACGTGTTCTCTAGAGGGAGCGTGTTCTCTAGAGGGAGAGCGTTCTCTAGAGGGAACGTGTTCTCTAGAGGGAGCGCGTTCTCTAGAGGGAGAGCGTTCTCTAGAGGGAACGTGTTCTCTAGAGGGAGCGTGTTCTCTAGAGGGAACTTGTTCTCTAGAGAGAGAACATTCTCTAGAGGGAGAGCATTCTCTAGAGGGAACGTGTTCTCTAGAGGGAACGTGTTCTCTAGAGGGAACTTGTTCTCTAGAGAGAGAACGTTCTCTAGAGGGAGAGCGTTCTCTAGAGGGAATGTGTTCTCTAGAGGGAGAACGTTCTCTAGAGGGAGAGCGTTCTCTAGAGGGAACGTGTTCTCTAGAGGGAGAGCGTTCTCTAGAGGGAACGTGTTCTCTAGAGGGAGAACGTTCTCTAGAGGGAGAGTGTTCTCGAGAGGGAACTTGTTCTCTAGAGGGAGCGTGTTCTCTGGAGGGAGCGTGTTCTCTACAGGGAACGTGTCCACCAGACAGCTAGTGTGATCAGCTCTGGAGCGTTGATCACAATTTGCAGATCACGTTTATTTTTCACGGAGAACGGCCGTGGATTCCTCTTCCGCCGGCATTCTAGCAAATCGAAAATAGGAATCGAAATTTAAAAAACTTTGAACAAATCCGGGAAAAACTTACAGTTGGAACAGGTTCCAATCGATGCTCGATGCCCAATCCTAGTCACGACAGCTCAGAAGAGGCTGCACTCTCAGACATTTCCACACAAAACAGAACCACTCCTTAAGTGTCAGCCTGTTACTCTACGATTGGTCATATTATTTTATTTGTCTAACAGGAATCTCTCCTCTGTCCCGACAGCATTTATAACCTCTGCAACTTGTTTTGTTCTTTTGCGCTTCGATCTCAAGTTCAATGTTTTTCTTACTTTTCCAGGAAAAAACAGGAAATTCCCTCATGCTCTAAGGACGTGGCGTGATTAAATATGGCCAACTGAGGGCGTTTCTGTGTGTAAATGACTGAGCGCCTGGGTATGAACAGGTGGGATGCATCATCAGACGACTGCAGAGGAACATGCGTACGAGTGGCCACCATTTGTTTCATAAATCAGCATTTTGACTGAACACACATCCTAAATTTCATTTGTAGTTTCTATGAATGTGATAAATGAGGGCCCAGGATCGTGACCTATCCATGTTCAGCTTTTAGCGACTGAATACCTAAATGTAAAGGATTAACACATCAGAGCACTTACCAGAATCATAACAAACATGTTTCCTCTGACTTAGCTCTACTCCGCTCATGGCTGATCCCACATGATACTTTACCTGCTATGCCTGGTAACACATTAAACCAGGTATGCCAAAGCATTAGCAACTCCACCACATAGCAGAAGTCCTCCAGGCTTGTTTATTTTTTTAAAGGGGATTGCATTTAAGGCCACCAGTCCAGGTGGATGTTGAAATCACAGTTTATTTAACTTTGAGACACTCAGACTGTTGAAATGGAAGTCATACAGAGTGTCAACTTAAAAACAGAAGTTAACAGATACCAGTGGTGTTGAATGCAACAGTAACACTGAGGTATTCTCACCCTTTTGTGTGTAGCTCTTCTTTCTTAGCAGTGTAAACACACTGCTTCTTCAGTGGGGGCTCCGAGTCCTTTTCCTCATCAGAGGATGAGGAGCTTTCTACAGTCAGATCGATCACATCGGCCTTTTTGGTGGAGCTGGGTTCTGTAGAGATCGGTACCACCGACAAGTGGCGCAGCAGGGCGGTGGCTGAAAGGCAAAATGTCAGAGTATAATCCTGCTATTGGGGAGGTCAGCAGACAGAGTTCCTATTTCAAACCTTTAAACCTGATAAAACATCATCATCGGATTAAGATGTTCGATAGAGTATGACACCAGAGATCATAGTCAGTAGAAAATTTCTGCTCCGTTGTGGAAAAACCTGGACATAAAGGTCAGATGTGAATCTGTAAAACCCTTTTATTGCAGTTTCCTACAGATAAATGATATATCAATAATTAAAGATCAGGAGCCTCATTTATATAGCTGCTTAAGCACAAAACAGGGTCTGAAAACGGCACAAGTGATTTTCATGCAAACTTTGGACTTGGGGAAACCAGCAGCACAGCCAACGACATGGTGAAATTAAGGATATTTATTAGAGATGCACCGAAAATTCGGTTTTTGGCTGAAACACGAAAATCATCTAAATTACACAGAAGAAAGGTGAATGTTTAATCTCACTCTGCCCTATGCGTCATCTTGCTCTTTGTGTCAGAGAAATCGTACATCCATACTGATTTATTTCTTTTTTTTTTCCCCAATTCTCGCGCTGCTCTGGGTGGCTGCATGTTTGAGTAGCTCTGTATGTAAGTTTTGCCTTTTTTGGATATTTTTTCTTCTAGCGTTTTAAGAAAAACTGTATTTTTTTTATTTTTTGACCTTTTACTTTTCTGTTACTGGTGCTGTGAAGCTTAGAGAATTTTTACTGCTATTTTTTCACTTTTTGAGCATTTGTTATGATGTGTAACCATGGCAACAAGCTGTTTACAATCGGGAGCAGCTGATTAACATTGGAAAGGCTGAAATAATACCTCAATTGAAGCCACAAATCCCAAATGAGCTAAAACGCAAAAAGCGTGGATGCAGGGCGGGAGCAAAACAGAGACAGAGAAAGAGGAAATCCAAACCATTTCTTCCATCGATCATAATGGGCAATGTGAGATCACTGGCCAACAAGATGGATGAACTCCAAGCCCTTTCAAGGACTCTGCCACAGTATCGGCAGTGTAGTGTTATGTGTTTCAGTGAGACGTGGCAGCAGGACCATATCCCCGATTCCAGCGTTTCTCTGCCAGGATTCCTGACTGTACGAGCAGACAAAGATCTGAGGAGGTGGCTTTTGACGATTTAGACGACTTTCAAGATGGCGCCGGTGTACGTGGCAAGCCGTCTGTCTCCTGTCGGATATTTTATCTTTTTATTATTTTTGAGTGTTTTCGTGTGTAATGTGACTTTGTTGCTGACTTATGACCGAGAGGCTCTTCTAGAACTTCGATCAGCTGCTGGCCTGGTGAAACCGGGTGCTTGGACGGGCTGGAGGAGTTCCGGTTTTTCGTCCTCCTGCCAGTGCCGCTCGGCACCACCGCTTGTGCCTCGACGGCTCCTGGATCGGGCTAACTGGAGGAAGCGTCGTAGGGGTCGTGGAAGGCGTGGTGGACGGCGGGTGAGACTACGGTCCAAGCTGTCACGGTGACGGGTATCAGCTGTCATCTTGTGGCGCAGTCACGCCTGTTTGGAGCCGGCCCCGTCCTGCCTCGTGACGTTGGTGGGGTTTGAAGAGGAGACTGCGCACCCGCGCTTTCGTCCAGTGTCTCGGTGCCGATGGAGGGGAGTCAACCCAGCAAATCTCCACCCGGTGACCTGTACGGGGGTAGCATCCACGTCCCTGGGCTTAATAGCGCTGAGCCTACGACTCCACATCTCACACGGCTAGGTCTGGTCAACGCCAGGTCGGTAATGAATAAAACTTTCATTTTGAAAGACTTCTTTGTTGCACAGGGGTTGGAACTGCTGTGCATATGTGAGAGCTGGCTGCCTATGGGAGATTCGAGTGCTTTACTGGAACTACTACCAGTGGGTTGTAGCTGTTTTAATGTCCCGAGGTCTTCTGGCAGAGGCGGTGGACTGGTTGTCGTGTATAAATCTCACTTCAACTGTAAGCAGCTTATTCCATCAAATCCTCCTTCCAGCTTTGAAATGTGCCTGTTTGAACTTGGCCCACCTCCCCTGTTGCTCGTGGCGTTGATATATCGTCCTCCTAAATTTGATGTGGACTTTTTAAAGGACTTCTCTGACCTCCTGTCTGTAAACATGCTAAAATATGATCATGTTTAGATTGTTGGTGATTTTAATATTCATGTGTGTTGCCCTGATAAGCCATTGGCTAAAGACTTTTTACATCTGTTGGGCTCCCTTAATCTGTCACAGTGGGTCCTGGGTCCTACTCATGCGCAGGGACACACCTTGGATTTAGTGATGTCTATTGGTCTCTCTGTTGCTGGTGAGCCCGTTTTTTTCTGATCACTCGCCCATTTTATGTGATTTTAACTTGCCCTGCATGCCTGCTGTGACTTCCTCTCATGTGAGATTTTGTCGTGT